GGATTTTCCAAGGCAAATTTGCTGGCCAACTTTCGAAAAGTGGACAAGCTGCTGAAAAATATAATTAAATAATAGTAATACAACTATAATGTACAGTTTCAAAATGTTTGAAGTTATATTTATATTATAAATATAATTATTTCAAAATATATTTGGAGGTATATTTCAAAATATAAATGGATGAATCGGAACTACATTTGATTGAGCAAACATGCCAGTTTTTAGAAGAAAGTCAAAGTTAAGTGATAATTGTATATTTACCTATATTTACTAGGATTATAAGATATAATCTATGTCTCTTTTTTATTTATTTTAATAGACTAATGAGAATGACCTAAGGAAATTTTTTTCCCAGTACGGCTGTGTAAAAGAAGTAAAAATAGTAAATGACAGAGCTGGAGTATCAAAGGGGTTAGTACTAAAACTTGTACTAAATTGATGTCATACTGCTTAGAGTCTGTATATAGGAAAACCTACCAAAAATTAAGAGCACGGTATGAAAGTACTTCACATCTATAATTCTGTAAGCAAATTATCTAGGAGTAAGTTTAAACGGACTTAGGCTTCTTACTAGAAAGCATAGGCTGCATTTGGTTGAAAAACAATTTCTAGAGATCAACCTGTGTTACTTGTTTGCAATAAAACAGCATATCATTGAAATTAGTTAAAATCCATTTAATCAGATACATGTGGTAGGTATAGTCCTCAGAAAAGAGTATATACAGTTGTTTACAAGGGGGAAAAAATGCTAAAAAGTTATCCTATTATCATTTCTTTCTTCATTCACATCCCTCTTACTCTATAATATTGTTACTCTTTAAGATGCCTTAAGACTTTTTGTTGAAAATCAGTATAATTTATATGGAATTATTAAATTTACTTAGTCTACAGTATTGTACAATATAGCTTAAATATTATATCCTTATTAATAGTCCTGTATCAGTCTGTTGTATAGTCCTTATTCAATAAACAGCCCTTTAATTATTTGCTTCTTCACTGTGATATTTGCGCATCACACAAATGAGTTTCATGTCTGTGCTGTGTACTATTTGGAATATTCTAGCAAAGCAATTTTTTTTAAATTTTTTGTCCCGCCTTTATTATTTTTATAAATAACTCAAGGTGGTGAACATACTAATAGTCCTTTCTCCTCCTATTTTAAAAATAAAATTTTTTGGCAGGAAGATAACATTCTTCTGCATCTCTGTCCATGGCAGCATCTACTGTGTTACCTCAGCTCCTTCTCATCCACCAGAACAGTAGTACTTTCAGCAGCATTCTCTGAACTTTTTCTCTTCATCTTAGTATTTCCCCAGATTATTTTTATTTTCTTGTTCCTCATGCTTAGTGTTATTGTTTTCTTTATTAATCTACATTTGAAAAGGAATATTTTGGAAAAAAATTTAGACTTCCTTGAGGCTTTCTTCAGACTGTTCTGTCTCCTACCAAAGTCTTAGAGCATTAAAGAAACTTTTCTGCAAGTGTATAAATGCTTGAGTAAAGTTACCACATTCTGACAGACATGCTTGTGTCTTGTGTGTATAGGTGAAGGCCATAAAGTTGAAGATGCTGTCATTGCTAAGTATTAATAAAACAAAGCAGATAGATCATTGCCCTTTTGGGTATTACTTAAGAAGAAAGCCCTGCCAAGCTCAGATAACATGCATGTACGTAAGGTTCCTTCACAAACCAAATCTCTTCCAGTAGCTAAAATAGAAACAATTTCAAAATCATTCCAAGAAGCATTTATAGAAGTGTATTTTCCCACCACCTCTTTCAGTGGCTAAAGTATTCAGTACCTCTGCAGAAGATTCTGCCTATTCTTCATCAAACACAGTGCTGACCAACAAGTTTTCCATACCAACCATAGTATTTAAAGGAACATAGACCTGTTGTGTCCATCTCTTTGAAGCAAGCAATTAAATTGAAACTGAAAAGATTAACTTCTTTGACTCAGAAGTATCCTTAGTTAAACAATGCATTAATGTCTTCAGTTAATTCCAGTGATGCTAATGCAAGAACTTTATAAGCTTTTGAAGAATTAAATAGAATAATAGTTGCAGATCCCAGTTTTCAGTTTTGCATTCTCCATTTATAGAGGCAGTCCTATCTGAAATTTCATTGTTAGATTCTAAGCTTATAGTGCATCCACATCAGAAGTTGTATGTGATCATTTCATAACAAAATCTTAATTTTGATCAAAAACTATTCAGCTGCAGACTTTTAAAGAGATAGCATATTCATGGATACTCTTCAACATTATACCAAAGCTCAGCCTCACCAGATTTGAGGGCTTCTGTTAGATCCCTATATGCCAGCCATGATGGGAAAGAAAACTGTCACTTGTTTTTATTCCCAGTCACTAAACTACTGAATGTATTCTCCAGATCATGACTATAGTTTTCTTGATTAATTTGACTTTGATTTGTATTATTAAGGTATTACATACATTTGTATAGTAATCCTCATCCTAACTGTAGTCTTTACATTGGATATTCTTCCTACAGTACTTGGCAGAAGTGTTCCTAGTACAGCAGCATACACATTACTGAAACATGATCACCACTATAACATCTATGGAATTTGCATACTGTGATGGAATGTCTGAAGACCCTGGGAATATAGGGGAGAGCAGGAGCATTACAGAAAAGATTCCTTAGTCCAGGGGAGGTGGGAAATATGGCAGACTCAGAGTAACTCTGCCTTAATTATGTTAGGAATAAGTTGATCTGGAGAATTATTTCGGCAGGCTTTCAATATTCTGTTACATTACTCTACTAGCAATACAGGTAGTCCTCATTTAGTGACCACAATTGGGACTGGCAACTCGTTCAAGAAGCTAAGCTAAGTGAAACCACAACTGTGCTTATGATTTTACTTCAGCTTTCCTTTGCTTTACAAACCTGCGAAGGTTGTAAATACAAGGATTGGTCATAAAGTTACTTTTCATCACCGTCGTAATTGCAAATGGCCGCTAAACAAGGCAGTCGCTAAACACAGACTACCTGATTATTCCAGAAATCTAAGTGACCCTTGTTTCCTGAGTTTGCCAGCTTTAAAGGGTTTGATACATACTGTACCAAGACCTACCATATTGGCAGTTTCATCACCCACTGCTCATGTTACAGTCCTAATCTGTTCCTAAAGTGTTTGCTATCATCTTCTGGCTTTTGTAGAAATAGTCACAGATCTACTCTTCAATGGGAATCATTACTCAGTTTGAAGACAATGAAATGGATTATATTCAGCAATAGAGGTATACTGCCTGTCATATTTATGACAAGTCTATTCTATGTTTTCTTGAATGAACAGTACTGCAGATCCACCCCTATAGGACTGATCAAAATACTGTTTTTTGCAGAAGTCTAGAGGCTCTTCATTTCAGGGATTCCCACACTCACTGTCAGTGAAGAAAATTGATCGGAGAAAGTGATATGTCTGATTCCCCAAACTAGCTTACATTGACATTATTTTTAGAGATCACCTCAAATTCTTGTACAATGTATCTCACTGTTACTGCAAATAGCTACACAATGGCTATACATTTTAACTACATCTTCTTTGGTACAATCCTTTGATAGAAAGGGTACAACAGAACCAGTAACAGCTACCCAAAGAGATGTTAACTTCTATTTCTATTACTGTACTAAAGAGACAAGTAAGACCCCATCCTTAGATCTTTGCAAATATATTAATCCAAAGCATTTGTCTTTCTCCCTTCCCCATGATGCCATGAGTAGCTGCCAAAATTCAGTAGAGCTGTTTAGCTGTGATTCTGAAATATCGCCATGGTTGCTATGGCATGTTTAGTTTCCAATGCTATAGTGCAGCACAGGGTCACTATTGCTTCATGCCTTTACAGGTAGTCCTTGTTTAACAACTGCCTCATGTAGCAACTGTTTACAGTTACAGAGGTGATGAAAAAGTAACTTTATGACCAATCCTTGCATTTATGACCTTTGCAGGTCTGTAAAGCAAAGGAAAGCTGAAGTAAGATCATAAGCACAGTCATGGCTTCACTTAGCGACCGCTTCACTTAAGGACTGAGTTGCTGGTCCCAATTGTGGTTGCTAAACGAGGATTACCTGTATAGGTAAATTGTCTCACAAGGCAAAACGTTCACCCACACTGCATTTCAAGGTATAAAAGATACAGCAGCTATCACATTGTCTCCAGATGTATGAGACATTCTTCATGCTGCCACCTTGATATCTTAGGACACAAAATGTCAAACAGCTCTTGTTTTTTCCAGCCCCACAAAGTGAAACCTGTTAACCATACCTATACCTTCAGTGTTTGAATGCAGTTGTTCTTGCATTTGAACACATTGATATTTGTTTTATTAAACATTTACTTGAGAATTTTACCATTTTTTTCACAATTACTCAACATAAAGTTCTGAACAATATAGTTCCATCACGCTTATCCAAGTTGTTCTTGAGAGTCTCCACAGTACTTTTCCTTGTAATGAAGAAACCTTTTGAACTTCTTGCAGCTGTTCTGTAATATATTCTGCCAATGAAGATGGCTTTACTTATAGCCTTTACCTCGATAGGAGGGCAAGTGAGTGGGTGGCCTCAGAGTCATCATTCCTGGTGTTTCATAAGGTAAAGTTTATCTTGGCCAGATGTCACCTTCTTAATTATGATTGTCTTTCTGCTTCTAATGCTCTTTGACCCCACAAGACACCTCCTATATTCTCTCAGTATCTATAGGGCACTTATTTTGTGTCTGAATAGAACTTTAATCTTGCCTCTTACTCACCTCTTAATCTGTTATTTAGGTTCGAACCCAGGACAAACCAGTTTCATTTCAGTGATAGATACTATCTTTTTAACATGCTGATGGCAGGTCTAGCTGTATCAGAAGGAGCTTGGTCTCACACATTCAATGTTTTTGCTGCTCTCATACCTGCCTATATGGTATTCCTCTATCAGATATTTGTTGAGGTACACAGCCACATTTATTTGTGAGTTGCCACCCTGGGTAGGAGCACATGAAGGTTTTGGACAAGTAATCTTATTTTCTATTGTTGATTGATTACAGTCCTATTTCTTATAATTAGAATATGATACTTACCATTTGTGCAATAAGTGGGGACCACAAGAAAGAAACTCAAAACAGTGATTCTGTGGTGATCTTATATGCAGAGAGCTTACCCTCCTTTCCCCCATAAGCAATTGTGTCTAGAAGCACCAAATTGGCTCAAGGAACTGAGGAAAACAACAGTTCAGCTACATGTTTTTGATTGATACACTGTGTAGAACCACCAAACCCATTTAACTCTTTCAAGAATCATATCACAGTTAAAAATAAGTAACTATTCGTCTGTAAAAATCCCACTGAAAATTTAATGTTATATGTTATTTGTTATAAGCAAATAAACTCTTGCTTTTCTCTACTTGAAACCTTATTTAAAACATCATTATAGTTGCCAGTTGCATTTCAGTGCAGAGATTCATAAAAATAACAGACTGAAATGAAGGAATTCCTAATTTGAAAAATAAATTCATTTTATTGAATGTAATTCCAGAAAGTTATCTTTTATGCTGATCACAACTTCAGCAGTTGAATCTAGCAAGTATCAGGACTCATACTGAATGTATTTGTTCTTTAGCATAAGTGAACATGGAAATTTGAATTTCCTAGAAAAATGAACGAGAACTAAAAAGCCCGTTACTTTTTGAGAAAAATATAAAAAACTGCAGCACTTTCACATTGTAGATGAGAAAAGGTCTACAAACCATGCCTTTTTTAAAAGGGCTAAACAGAAAATGAATGTACAGCCTGACAGAAGCATTCAATATATACATTAACATTTATGCTAGTTTTATTTTATATGCGTACCATTCTGAGTTTTATCTATTTTTGCATTTAAAAAAAAATTTATATTTTTTTGTCTCACACATCCCTTATTCAAGGATACTTCTATAGTCAAGCTAGAGGTTCAGCAGAATCTTCACCTTCCAATTCCATGTTCAAAGTGCTGTGACTCTTACCTTCCAGCTTTCTGTTTTTGATTAACACAAGGAAGCATCTTTGTTGTGAGGTAGTTTTTTTTTCCCCCTTGATTTTTTTTCTTTTCTTTTTTCTTCTTAATAAGAATTTGTCTTTCAGCCACTGTTTTAGGCCTGTGGCTCAAACTGTTTTTCTTCTATAAATATAAGTCACATGGAAGTAACATGCTGATTTCAGAAGGCCATGGCCTGTATTTCTTCTCTTTGGGAAAAATATTGTTTTTTAAAACCCTTATTCTCAACAGATAGGCAAAAAAAAGAGTTTGTTGCTTCACACTCCCATTTACGAGTAGAGACTACATTCAGCTGACTCAAAATTGTCAGACAACACATTAATGTTTTGGAAGACTGTACATATAATGTATGCTAAGGAAAATAATTTCTGTTGTTTTACTTAGGTATGGGTTTGTCACATTTGAAACTCAGGAAGATGCACAAAAAATTTTACAAGAGGTAAATGTTGTTTCATATACATAGATAGTAGTAATCCACTCATGTTTACATGCTTGTTGTAAAGATCAGTGTTTGAAATCTATGGGAATATTTTTTTCAGATTTGGTGGGTACCATCACAAAATGGCTGCCATAGTGTGTAGGCAGTTACAAGTATGTGTATGAGAGAGAAAAATGTAAGAGACTTACTAATCAGGAGAGGCAGAGGATCTTTTCAGATGCCATAGATATTGGGCTATTCTTGCAGTCATGGGCATTGTGTTATAGGAATTTGGTGTAGTGATTAAGGCACCAGCCTAGAATCCAAGAGACTATGAGTTTTAGTCCCGCCTTAGGCATGAAAGCTGACTGGGTGCCTTCTATCAGTCACTCTCTCTTAGCCCAACTCACCTCACAGGGTTGTTGTGGGGAAAATAGGAAAAACTAAATGATCAGGTTCAGGGATGACTATGAGTTCAGATGTCTGAAAAGTAGAAAGTAGATGTTCATTTCTGTACCCTCATCAGAACATCTCTATAGAAGAGCTCATTTCAAAGCACAGTTTCCTCAGTCCCATCTATAACCCTGTCGCCAAGATATTTTAAGATGTTAAGGCAGAGATTCCCCAATGTTCTTGGTTCACAACATCCTTAGTATCTCAGTAATTTTTTCACAGCACTGCGCAATTCCCTGCATTGTAGCACCCAGGGCATTGTAGGATACAGTTTGGGAACTGCGGGCTTAACAGAAACAGTGAACTCACAAAGGTGCCACGGGATATTTTAAATTCTCAAGGGAAACACAGTGATGTTAGGCTAATAGTTTGCACCATGTCCGACATGTCAAGTATTGCTGTTTCTCTCAAAAATTTAAAATATCCTGCAGTACTTCTGTGAGTTTTCTGTGGCTGCTTGAGCCAGCACTCCATCATCATTCCTAGTCATGTGACCCACAGCACTGCTGTTAAGGTTTTGTAAAGAATTCTAGAGTTCATACTATGTCTGCATGTTTTCCCATTTTTTATAATTTTATGTGCTGATAACGTTGACATTCCATGGTTCCTTTAGGCCACAAAGGGTTAGCTTAGAGTTTTTTATAGGACTAATATGTTTATACATATTTACCCAGGGAATTCCCCAAATTTGCAGAAAGCTACTATCTTATCTATGGGTGGCCAGCCGTGCAGGCACAAGATCAGTATTAGCTGAAATAATTCATTGTAAAAATGGATCACCGGTGCCTTCTTTCTTTAAGAAACTGTGGACAACATTTTCAGAGTGGCTTTAGTCCCTTCAGTATTATTCAAGGGCTGCATGAATAACAGATCTTATGGTGAGTGAGGTGGTGATGTGTGGCCCAGGTTCAAACAAGACTGATCCACACAACCAGGTTGCTTCAGTGAAAGAACTGCTGCTAACTATTTCATGAAGGCAAGAGTGTATGACATTGTCCTCTACTTCTTGTCACCTGACTGGAAAGGCAAACCAGTGTGTGTGTGGTTTCTTGCTACCTGTACAAAATAGTGTTTTCCAACTTGTGCTTGCTCAAGCAGTACTGTACTGTACAGTACTGTAGAGTCTTCTGTGCTTCATTTCATTGTTCGCAAACCCCTCCACTGCAATTGGTTCTAAACTCTGGGACAGAAAACCTGTCCCTTTGGTCACTGCACTCCATGGTCATTTCATCATAGACAGCTGGACTTTAAAAAAAACAGGTTTATTGATGGACAGGTGAAGCAGAGGACTTGTTTTTTACAAGTTCACTGATGGAAAGGTGCAAAGGAATGCTTTTGTTTTTCAAATAAGAGAGTTCTCTCCATTTTACTTTACAGCCAAAGTGACAAGAATAATGATAAAACCGCGGTGGGTTTTCTTTCTTTCTTTTTCTTTTCTTTTACTAGTCTACCAGTAGTACATGTCTCAGCCCTTTGAATTAGGCCAGGTCAAGAAACAGACATCACAGGGGTTCCAGGGATATTACTTGTAGGGTATATTAACAAATTCTTGAAAGCCTATCCAAAACCTTAATTGCCTCTTATTAAGGACAAGGTCAAGATTTGGCTATTGTGAGTCTTTTTTCATGCTTTCTACTTTTCGTGGCTGAATAATCATTTCACCTTTCCCAGCTCCTCCTTAGGGCCTGAGCTAAATTCCTCTACACCATCAAACAGGAAGGTCTGTCAGTGGAAACCACATGTTCCCAAAGATTTGCCCATTGAAAGGAAAGTGATTGGTGCTTGTTTTCCTGGCATGGGTAGAGGAGGGGTAAAGAAGCAAGCAAACCCACTAACCAGGGGCCATGGTAAGCATAGTCCAGACAGAATGCCAGGGTAAAAGCAGAGAAATTGACTGAAATCTGGAAAGAGATTTCTTAAGCTGGCTTCAGTTCCAGCCAATTTACCCACAGCAGTCAAACATCTTAAGGCTGCAGTGAGGAAAAGCCCACAGACAAACCAATTTATATTGATTTTTCTCAGCCCCAGGTTAGAATTTCAGGGAATTTCAGGGAAATTCTAATGGCAACTTGTTTTAACTGTGGCACTGAGTTATAGGTAGCCATTTTAGTGTGTGTATGGAAGAATAAGTGAAGAATTTGAAGTAAATTGAAGTAAGGTCAGAGTGAGACTGGAGAAGAGCTAAAAGTAAGCAATGATGGGACAAGAACTGATATATGGGAAAGTAGTGGCCTGGAGTGTCATGAAAGGCCTGCTGTAGGAATGGGCAGTATTTGAGGGGTCACAGGCCACAATTCAACCTCCCAACTTTACGGATTGACAGAGGAAATTGTCTGGTTTAGTGATGTTTAATCCCATTTGGAAAAAGTTAAGGAGAATTGGAGATTCTGTACCACAGTGGTTGTGGTACAGGCCTCAGGTTGCCCACCCCACCTGACTGAGACTAATACATCCCTGAAATAGCTCACGAATGAGCAAAAGATAAGAATCAGAAAGAAGGCCTACATGAATTTAGCATTTATTTACAGCAGATAACTAGTGTGTGAAATGGGCAAGATAACCATGATTGGGTAGTGAGATGTAAGCAAAGAACTGTTTTGGAATATTGAGAGAAAAGGGGACCCCTAAAGTAGGCAAAGTTTCTATCATAATAATTTGCTTTGGATAATCAAAACAACCAATAAAGATAGGAATTCCTAAATATGACAGCATATTCTTTAAAAAGTTAAATGTTTTGAACATGTAAAGTTTTAAGCTTAAACTGACATTTCAAATTTGAAACAGTTGTTTTGAATTCAAAATTAGCAATTGTGACAGTCCAAGAAGCATTTTAAGTTCCAAACAGTGTTGAAACAGTATTTCAAATTCAAAGCAGGGATTTCGAGCTAAAAACATTTTAAATGAGTGTTTTCCACACTCCCAATAACCGAGGAACATTTAGGAGCTTATTGACTAGAAGAATATCACAAAACAGCCAGAGCAGTGTGTCACCTTTTTTCCCAAAAGCCTTTTTGGGATTGAGTTTATATGGCTATGAATAGGGAACTTCAGTAGTCCCCTGAGTAGAAATCTATGTTGTAACATAGGTACAAAAGGGGACCATAAATAGTGCATTTATGCTGAGTAATCTTACATACTGAGTAATTTTCTGTGTATTTCATAATAATGTACTAGTGTTTAAAATGTTTATGTCACTTATGTTTCTGTATTACTTCCTATTTAAAAAAATCTCAGTGGTTTACAATGAAAATCAACAAAATAGTTTACAAATAAAATGTAGCAAACTAAAAGCAGCAATAGAAGGTTAAAAATCACAGCAGCAGGCCTAGGAGAATGAAAATGCTTTTACATGGCACATAAAAAAATGAAGATAACAGGCAATGTCATATCTCATTGGGGAGAGTCTAAAGTCAGAAGGCAGTAACTGAAAAAGCCTATTCTTGGGTAGTCACCCAAGTGCCTTAATATGAGAGTGGGTGCCAAACAGCCCCTCTAAATATGATTTCAGGTTATAGATAGGAACATAGAGGAACATTCCTTCAAAACCTGTGGTTCCAAGATATCAAGGGCTTTATAAGTTAAAACCAGAACCTTGAATTGGAGAAAAAATCTAAAGATTGTTTTATATTTGGAATTCATATCTTTTGAATTATAAATTCTCAAAATCCTTATACAGTAAGATTAATTATTTAAACAAAAAAAATGTAATAGTAACTGAGTACCAAAAAAAAAATATGCAAGAGGTTTTCCATAAGATATGGAATAAAATAAGAATGTCTGAAAAAACTGTTGGATTGTTTGTAAACATTTTGTAAAATAAGATTTATACGTAAGTAACATAAGTAACATACTTCCTTTGTTTTGTTTAGGCTGAAAAATTAAATTATAAAGATAAGAAACTGAACATTGGTCCAGCAATAAGAAAACAACAAGTAGGGATTCCTCGTATGTATTTATTTGTTTTCTCTCCCTCTCTGCCCACCCCTCATTTTATAGAAATGATGGATATAATAAAAACCGCTTTCCGAGCAGTGTGGGTTCTGGGAAAAAAAACTGTGCAAATTATTTTGATTTAAATTAGCATATTTGTCTAACCCACGGTCTGTAGATGTATTGGAATTGTTTGGTGTGGGAAGGAATTACATTTATTCTGTTTTATGAGCTTTGATTCTTATATTCAGAGAAACTAAAAGTTTGATATGTGAAAAATACTTTCATTGGAATATTGGAAGCTTTTGTTTTGTTTTGTTTTTTAACTGAGCGCTGTAACTCAGGCTTGAAAGGGAAACAAATAGAAACCCTTTCAAGCAGATCACTAGAGAGAACCATTAAGAGGCCAGGATCAAAAGAGTGCACAGTGCACATATGAGACTGCTTCTGGTTCTTCCCATCTATTCACCTCACAGCAAGAATCAAGAAGTCCTCCACATGGCATCATCATTCAGTCTGACTACATGGGTCTTATAGAGAAGGGCAAGTGATGCATGTCTCTTTCATTTCTCTGTAGCTTCTCCAGCAGCTTCCCCTTTCTCTTCTCTCCCAGCCATTTAAACTACTAAGGGAGAACTATAATATTTCTGCTTCACCTGAAAAATATCATAAAACTTTGAAACTTGCCTTAATTGGAAACTGTTGATCATGGAAAATTTTCAGACCCATGCTTCTCCCATACAAATGCTATAGTCAGTAAGTATTCCATTTGCACAGCGGTGACAGTAACATTCTACAGGTAGTCCATGCTTACTGATGGTAATTGGGACCAGGAACTCTGTCACTAAGCAACACAGTCATAAAGCGCAATGTCACATTACCACACCGACTTATGACAGCAGTTCCAGCAATCCCAGTTGCTGTAGTTAGATGAATCCTGTACGATTGCAGCATCCCGTGGTCACATGATCACCATTTGTAACCTCCTGCCAGTTTCCCCATTGACTTTACAGTGGCAATCACGTGACCATGGGACACTGCGATGTCATAATTGCAAGCCAGTTGCCAAGCACCCAAATTGCAATCACGTGACCGCGGGGATGCTATGACAACCATAACTACAAGACTGGTTGTAAGTCCCCCTCGTTTGGCACTGTCATAACTTCGAACAGTTGCTGAACGAGTGGCCATTAAATGAGGACTACCTTATTAGCAAGGTGGTTCAGGCTTAATTAGGATGATAAAAGGCATTTTTTTATTCTGTCACTATTTCAGGATCCAGTATAATGCCAGCAGCTGGAACAATGTACTTGACTACTTCAACTGGATATCCATACACATACCATAATGGAGTAGCTTATTTTCATACTCCTGAAGTTACTTCTGTTCCACAGCCATGGGTAAGTATTTTTTTTTTATATATATAGGAGTATCACATTTGCTGATAAACAGTATGTTTTACTTATGTTTTTCTTCATGTTAGCATGTTTTGTAAACTAAATTGCAGTTAACAAGGTAAATTTGTAACGATGTTGCCACTGCAGTTTTATTGCATGCAACTGTTGCAGAAAACCTTAATACAGGTAATCCTCTGGTTACGACGGCAATCCTGGACAGTCCCGGTTGCCTTCATAATCCAAAGATGCACAGGTCATTAAGCAGGAAGAAACGGGCGTCCCAGGTAAGGAGCGCGGGGGAGTGAGGGAGGGCCTGGGAGGGCTGGTGCAGGTCACATGGGAGGCCGGGGAGGGTCAGTGCAGGCCGCATGTGACTCCTAGGAGGCAGGGGAGAGCAGCAGAGGCTGCTCGTGGGCAGAGGGGAATGCTGCAGGTGGGAGAAAAAGCAAGAGCAACTTACTGGAGTGATTTGCATCCTTCCCTGCCAACTTCCATATTGAGTTTGCTTGTGGAAAGCCAGCAGGGAAGGTCACAGATGGCAGTCATGTGATCATGGCTCCCTGCAACGTCATAAGCATGAGCCAGGCACATAAGTGCCCGGATTGCAATTACGTGACTGTGGGAGTGCTGCAGTGGCCAGAACTTTGGGGACTGGTCATACATCCATTTTTTCAGTGCTGCCATAACTTTGAATGGTTGCTGAACAAATGGACATAAACCAAGGACTACCTGTACTTTGAACTTCACCGATCTAACTTCTAGAGAAAGCCTGTTCCATAACATGGGTGTCACGAAAGAGAAACAGTTTTTTCTGGCCTTAGCCTGCCTTATTTCACAGACTGGTATTCCACAAGCAGCTTCTACTACAGGGATCTAGCAGAAGTCAAAGACCCAGAATCCTAATCATAAATTAAATTAGTATCGATACATATGAGAGCCAGTTTGGTGTAGTGATTAAGGCATCAGGCTAGAAACTGGGAGATCATAAATTCTAGTCCCAGCTTAGGCACAAAGCCAACTGGGTGACCTTGGGCCAGTCATTCTTTCTCAGCCCTATGAAGCAGGCAATGGCAAGCCACTTCTGAAATCTTGCCAAGAAAACCACAGGGACTTGTCCAGGAGTCAAGATTGGCTTGAAGGCAGAAACAAACAACACCTTGATACATATCCATTGCTGTCCAGAAATGAAAGGATGGGGGAATTTGCCATGGATGATGAAGGGGGTAGAGCACACAATCCTAGATAACATGCATGATATTTAATGAAATTTGTCCCCCCCCCTTTTTTTTTTTTTTACAAAAACTAGTGCTTTAACAGAACGCAAGTATATTTCTTTTAAAACGTTTTAAAACCTGAGTACATCTCAGCAAAATACTAATTGATTTTCTTTCTTTTTTTTAAGTCACGTTCCATTTCTAGTTCTCCTGTGATGGTAGCTCAGCCAATTTATCAACAACCAACATATCACTATCAGGTAAAAATTAAATGATTGCATTTGCTGAAATATGATTGTAAATAAGGGAAAATATTAATTACATTGATTTGTGTTTGTGTAACAAAATATTGTAAAAACTTACAAATATATCCCACTTGATTTTTATTGGTTAATAATATTTCAGCTTTTTTATTCACTGTAATGTTTTCAGTGTTTATTTTATTTTTCAAAGTTTGTGTGTGTGTGTGTGTGTGTGTGTGTATGTATCTATCTATCTTTAGGATTTTGACTAGACTATGTCTTAACAAACAATTGTTTCCATTTATCATAGGCTCCAACACAGTGTCTTCCTGGACAATGGCAATGGAGTATTCCCCAGGTAAGTTGAAATATTTTTCAATTATCTCCTTCCCACATGTTACTATTATGTTTCACTCCCCATACAGAAGGTTTAAGGAACAAAAAATAGTCTTTCCTAGTTCTGTTCTGATAAAAATGATTGTATATGAGTGGTAGGGCTGAAAGTACAGAAAACATCTGTGTTCTGATTGTTCCTGGCAACTGACTGTAAGAATTAAAATTGATAATGTGCTGAGTTCCTCTTCCCAGTGAATCTCAAACTGATAAATTCACATGTTATATTGAGAAAGATTTTATCATTTCAAGACTTTTTTAAAAATAATGCTATTAACAGATGTACTATTAGAATGTAAGGATGTGAATCATGTTTTGAATCAAACCATTTTGAATTTGGGAATGTTTCAAGGTCAAACAGTATTTTGCAATTAGAACACAGCTATTTTTACCTCAAAGTGTTTCCCAACTACTTGAAACACATCTGGTTTGTGTAGGAAACAGTGCATTCTCTACTGTTCAGTTTCATGCGTTTTGCCCATCACTAACCATGTCTTAGTTTGGACTGTACACGAGTCCTAACTAGTTGATTTTTAATTGCTTATAGTATTTTGGAAGATAGAAGTGGACCAATGCATAAGGAAGAAACAGGCAAAAAAAAATGGGAGCAAATGTTTAAGTAAGCTGTTCAAGCTAGAAACTAGTTGCATATATACATACACATTTTTTTCAGAATATATGCTTTCTAAGAAAATCTTCAATCTTTGTTAAATAACAGTTTGATAGGATTTTTAAAAGATTTGATAATAACTACTACAAATTACTAAAGAAAGGTCATGATGGAATTTCAGGTATTCTGAAATAACTATTAGGGCACATAGTTGTTATAAATAAGTTTAATCTGCAGCTCAAACTATGGGCCTTTCCTACTTCACTATACATACATGCCCTGGTAACATCTTTTCCTACTACATTCCATTTTGTTGCCTTTACCTTGTTCTCAGCTGATGAGCCTGATAGGTTTAAAGTTGTCTACAGTTATACTGATGTTTAAGAAAAATGTCCAGAACACCCTCAAGATCTATAGCCTCAGGCTTTGTCATGCATTACCTTGGAGAGAAGTCAGTTGACTGCAGTGACTTGAAATAACATGCAATAGAAGCATCAACAATGGGAACAGCAGTGAAAGAGCAAATGTCATGCAAGCATAGCTTTTTTGCCAGCAGAGGTAGGAACAGATAGCACTTCAACTCAGCAGTGGGGAAAGGCCCTATATCTATTTAAAATTAAGGTATATGCAAATACCCTATTCAATTACTGGAGGACTTAGAAACAATTTCAGCTTTATTTGTGTTGCTTGGTCTGTGACTTGCTCAGAGAGCAGTTACTATAGACTGCTGCTAAAAATCAGCACTCTGTCAGTGGTAGGATGATGTGGAATTGCTGGATGAATAATTCATCTTCTAAGTTTTGGTTGGCTTGCTGCATAGGTCAGAATAATACATGCTATAGCCTGAACTTTTGTATGGGGTAGTCATGTTTTCCAGGTAAGAGCAAGATACATTTGTTTTTCAACTGGTAAAAAAATAATTAAAGAGGAAGCATTGAAAGAGAGGGAGAAACACAAAAAGAGAGAAAAATGTTTTACATTTCTTTTCTCTTTTTTTTACCACACTGAGATATACTGTAAATCTTTTGGACAATCTGCTTTTATTGGCTGATGATCTATGTTGACATATCTGGCTAATAGGGTTTTTTTTCTATTTTGAGGAGGCCATTTTAATTATTTATATATAAAATGTAATCATATTAATAATGGAATTCTACATTAATTCCCTGATACAGTTGAATTAAATGGGTTACTCATTGAACACCCACAATTTTTTGTTTTTGTTTTTAGTCGCCCGCTTCTCCCACTTCGTTCTTTTACCTTCATCCTTCTGAAATTACTTATCAACCATTGGAAATTGCACAGGATGGTGGATGTGTCCCTCCTCCTCTTTCCCTAATGGAAGCTGCAGTTCCAGAGGTATTTCTGTTCAGTAAAGCATTTGTATGTGTCCTATTCAATCTATGATTTTTAGATTATTCTTCCCACAAATAATTTACCTTTAAAATCGGAGAGTTGTCTTGGATTAACTGAGAATACATCAAAGGGGATTTGGGAGGCAGGGGAGGGGTGTATTTTAAATTCAGGTCTGACTTCCTTCCGGTAAATACAAACATTTATTTCAAGTTAGTCAGTAATGAGTTTGCCACCAGGGGGCAGGATTAGCTTACTGTGGATTGGTGATCTTTTCTTAAAATGAATGGCTAGTCTTCATTAATACCAGGTAAAGTAAAAAGCACTATCAGTTAAAAGTATTGTTAGTCCCATGATTTGGGGGGGTAAGTGGGCAGAACAAACAGATTTTGCCCCTCAGTTTATTGATTGTAGTCTCTTTGTCATGGATAATTTGGAGGGAGATGTTTAGAATTTAGCCTACTCACTTATCTCTTTTATCAGTATAGAACAGTATGTTTTCTGTATTGCCACTCCTCAGTTTAATTTTTGTTACTCCAGATCACCAGAAGCATATAAACTAGCTTTTATCTTATAGATTTCAACACATTCTAAAAGCTTAGCTATCCATTCTTGCTATTAGAAGGCCCATTTTTCATTAGATAGGGATGTGGAATCAGCATAAATAAGTTCTCAGCTAGTGTCTGCATCAATGAGGTATTTTTCCATTAGGGTTTGTTTTTGTTTTGTTTCCTATATATTTGATTGTTTGTGAGAACCTTTCAGGAGGAGAACATGGTAGACTAACATGCCTCTGTGCTGCGGAGATGATGCTGAGGGAAAGACTGGCAGTCAGGCGGCAAGCCCAGGCTAATAGAGCTTCTCCGGACAAGGAGAAAGTTATGAGATTACCCACTTGAGCTCTGGAAGGCAGCTCCTTGCACGGAAACCTGCAGGATCTGGAAGAGTCCTGCAGGTGACTTGTGATTAGAGCACTGGGAGCCAAGGGAAAAAACATCATGCTCACAGCCTCAAGCAGAGCCTGCCTAAAGGACACTGAGTTTGCCCACTTCACTTTCTAGAGCACATTGGAGTGGAGAAATTTTAAAGTGTATAGAGATATTCCAAGCAGCAGAGCGCCTTAAGCCACCTGGTGAGTGCACCTTCAACCTGTGGGAAGGATTAATGTAAAAAGTGAGGAAACAATTATAAAGATTTTAAAAAAACCAAAAGCAACAGTCTTGCCCAGAGTTTGAAATGCAAAAGTTAAAAATGGACTAAGGGGGCAGACAGCTGAATTTGGATTATTACTTTATTTAAAGTACTTTTGAATTAAATAAATAAATAATACATACCTCCATGAGAAAGAGGATTGTTTAAACTTGCTAAAGAGGATGATTGGCTGACTTTGCTAAACAAAGAGATTAGTTGAGAAAGAAGGGAAACAGGAACTTGGAAAATATCACATGATCAGAGATCTACGGAGTGCTTAAAGGGTTAGTGTTAAGAATAAAGAGAAGGGAAAAAAGCCCACACTTACCTTTTTACTTCTCCTTTTTGGACTGTAAATTAGAGAAAGAAAAATGGCTACTACTAGAAAAGCAGTGAAAATTACAAAAGAGCGGAGAGGATCATTTACAGAGGGATTGTGATGGAATGGAATGAGAGGGGTCAAGGGCAGAAGCATCTCCTCAGCCCACAGCATGAGCATGGGAAAACGAAGAAGATGAGACTGGCACCACCCTAAGGAATTCATAGTGTTTAATTGCTGGCTTGGGGAGGTTTGGGTTAGTCTGGCGAGATACT